CACACACCTCATTTCACATTTTAGAAATATTCCAGCCACAAAGCCATTATCGTGATCCACGTGTGGAATCGAACCCGGGTCTTCGGCGTGACGAGGAAATGCCTCAACCACTATGCTACCCTCGACCGTCTTAGTGGTGTTTTTCGTAACTTGCGACTCCCTAAAGAAACCTACACCCACGACACCCATAAAAGATCAAATCAGATTGCCGTGGTTGATTATCTGACGCAACAAGTACACGTCAATATAAATCAGTCGACTTAGAATGAAATGCTAGGTCTACGAGCGCCATCGTTTTGTGAAACCTAATTATACGTTGATGCAGGTGACATGTACTATCTGAAGAACAAACGTGTCACGAGAGGAGACGCGCTAACGTTGTTGAGGGGAAGGGGGTGGGGGGATACGTAGACGGCCGATTGTTATGCAGAATGCGAGAGGCGACCAGTCAGTCCCGACAGACAAGATAGCAAGAAGACACGAACTACCGTGTCTATACTATCATAACACAATGATCAATAAATCATCGCAGTCATTGTTGAATGGTTAAATTAGCAGGGAGGATACAGTGGGGATCTGTATATGAAGCCGAGCGGGTCGGAGAAGTCAAGAGGTACGTGAGAAGATGTCTCCTGAAAATGGGAAGAGATTAGGGGGAGACTGGGCGAGACGAGGGCGACAAAACAGTGATCTTGGGAGGGGCATTGGGACCGATGGGAGAAGTGTGGGGACGCGGGTAGGGGGTAGAAGGAAGGGTGCTGATTCACAGGTGAACAGGCCACGTGGTCACCAAAAAACGATTGACACAAGAGGTGTCCGAGTAGGGGTAGGTTGGAGAGGGAGATGTATAATGGGACAAGACGACACAGGAAAGGGGGGCGAAGGGGCTTGCGGCTGGGGTGGGGTGACAGAGCTAGGGTACATCCTCATGGTAAACATTGTCGGCGTGTTAACCAAGTGAGTGAGTTTGGTTTTACGCCGCTTTTAGCAATATTCCAGCAATATCACGGCGGGGGACACCAGAAATGGGCTTCACACATTGTACCCATGTCGGGATTCGAACCCGGGTCTTCGGCGTGACGAGCGAACGCTTTAACCACCAGGCTACCCGACCGCCCCGCGTGTTAACCAAGGAGGCATGAGTATGTTGACATGGTATCAAATATAGATAAGATACTTTTTATTGTACTTGCACCCACTTTGGGCCGGGTACAGATTAAATGGGGTTCAACGAATAGATGATTGACGGTCTGCAACCATGAGAAACGGTTTTAATTGGAAATAAAGAAGGGATATCCATATTCAACGAGGTTGTGCCACATTAAGATTCGTTCTATCCTTTGAAGATTAACTGGTTGGAGTAACAGAAAATAATAGAAGCTAAATAAAAAAATCGAAGTCTTACGACATGAGAAACGACATAACAAAGGGACAAGGGTCCCTCTGATTGAGTCTCAATGGAGGATTTTGGGGCTATGACTGTCCAATTCAATGTTAAAATATGAGGTACGATCGTCCTTTTGGGCTAGTATCGCTTTGGGGAACGGGGGTCTTAGGCTGGGAATTCGAAGGTACATGAGAAATTGATGTATTGTAATGTAGGGAGATGTGACGTCGAAAGGATGTAATGGCGGGCTTGCGACGTGGGTTGGCGTCGTGGCCATATTTCTCAGAGGTTTCGAGTCGTCAAGGTTTCACAAGTGACTGAGCACACTGGCAGTTGTCGGGCGGGAGGAATCTGTAATTGACCATGTTTTCCCCGTGATCAAAGAGACAGGTCCGATAATTTACACACTGGGCTAAAGAGGTGGGCCACTCAGCGCGGTAGACAACCAATACAGGAGGGAGTAGGCATTAGGAACCGTGAAATTGGAGACACTTATCTCCCTCCACGCTTCACGGGCTCCAGTGAAAAGTATACTTACACAAATAGCTAGGCTATTCTTTCTATGTATCGCGATTTTATCAAGTTTTTCACCTGCAGACGTTCGTGTTGCCTTCACGCCTCAGCGAAGTATCTATCACGACACCTAAACACAGTATTCTTTTCTCAGGCGGGTCTTGAGGTCTTGCTCGTCAACCGCCAGTCACCAGTTTGGAGGCCCGTCCCTGATTGGGCCAGACAAGGAGACCTTAGATAACCAAACAGCTGTCGGGACGAGTTAACTGGGTGACTGAACGCCAAACGTCAACAAGATATTCCGTTTTCAAACCAAGTTGGGCAGAATAACAGCGTCCCATTAGAAGGGCACCCATTCGCCTAGCACTGCATTAATGAGTGATTTGAGGCATAGGGATTACCCGGAGTGTAGATGGCGCTCCGACTCCGGCACTCGTCCATTGACAATCGAACACCGGAACAAGAAGGTTGTCCACGCATCGTGGGCACAAATAACGCCGTCTACCTGGATTGCTCCCTGTATGCTCACTAATCTTCCCGGAATGCAACCCTTTTCGGATCACTGGTGTATTTTCCTCTAAGTTGCCTATAGACCGATATGACGTTACAGAACAATCAGTATAATTGGATCGGCGAATTATGCGCCATGTCTTTATGGTGTCCTTGGAAGATCTTCTCAAATGGTTCGCAGATTATTCAGATAGGTTGACTCAATGGGGAACAAATGAAAATGAACAGGCTCCAATGGTCGACCAAATCTCTCTCCCCTTTCCCGTACGCCTATCTTCCCACATTGACAGGAAGATTGGATATCGGGAGCTCGCAAAAGTCAGGGCATGCGGTGACACGTCATACTTCTCTCAGCAAGTGACTGGAATCAGACAGCGGTTGAGATGACTGCTGGGTTCCCTATCTGGTCTCCATGATATTCCGCCCTTGAACCAGAAGGCCACCGCTTGCTGTAATCATCGTGCCTAGAAGGTTCGGCATATCACCATACTGAATGAATGGATTACAGAAACTGAATATTAATTTCATGCTTACTGCTATCCTCGTCTTGTTTATTGGTTAATTTGGAAAGGCCGACTTGGATGACTGTTCCTCAGACAGCCAAGGCTCTGGGTCTGCGTCTCCGCACATTGTAACACTGATGATACATTCTGATGACTGTGCAGAAATGAAACACGAAAGTGGCCTACAGTTTGACAAATATATGGATTTCTTTTTATTTCACGAGTGTTGTTTTACGCCTCTGTGTGCAAAAAATCAGGCGGCCTGTACATAATGGAGCGTTAATTGGCCAGTGGTGTGCACGATGCCACACGGTTAGCCGGGTCACAGACTGGGCCCATCCAATCCTCATTAGCAGACTCGTTATGGGGTGCAGGTGTCCTCCGATTCCAACGGTGTATGCGTTAGAGGGATCATTATGCAATTTTAATAACTTGGGGGAAAGGTAGGGAGGTTATTAAATTGAATCATAATTTGTTTGCGAGATAAAACGGACAGGAATAGGATAACAATTTAACGAAAATTGTAAAATGATGCTCCGAAACATTCCAATGTTTAAGTGTAGGATATTATATAAAGACCAAATTGTCTGGATAAATTTGATCCCCTTGTCTATGTAAGATCACAAGTTCCTAATGCTAATACTTCCACAAATATCCCTAGGAATCGCGAATGAAGAATCGTGTGGTAGAATACATACGTAATTGGCACCGAGAGAGAAATTCCCAAGCTAGGCTATCCAAGGATGGCGCTCAATGGGAATCGTGAACTGGGGTCCTTTCTTCTTGAAATATAAACCGTTCGCTCGTCACGTCGAATACCCGGGTTCGATTACCCACAGGGGTACAATGTGTGAAGCCTATTTCTGGTGTCCCCCGCCGTGATATTGCTGGAATATTGCTAAAAGCGGCGTAAAACTTGACTCACCCTTCTTGAAATCAACATTCCTATGTTAAAATCTGGACGTTAGACCTTTGTCGTTAACATGATATGAAAATAATGAGTTAACGAGGAATATCAGATGTGTGAGAAGGCAACTATCGAAACATCACTGAAAGATGCAAGAATGATAACACAATAAAATCAGATTGTGTTGACCTGTGATGTCAACGCGTGCATGCATGAGAAATCGCAGAAAAATGATTCACTTCAGACATTTAGCACTTGATCGATTTCACCTGCATGAAGGGCGTGAATAACTTCCGCGCGTGACGTCGGCACGATTTGCACGTGCAAGGAAACTGACAAATCGTTGTTCGTGTCATCGCTTCATTAACCCGGCTGTGATATACGTTTTACGTCAAATACAACACACGCGAGAAATGCAGTCGGTGATCACTAACAACATTTTTAGAAACTGGCGTATGAGCTAATTGAAAAGATATTTTTTCTCTCGCCTCAAGGGACATTCAGTTAAATTTCTCCAAACTGTGATCAGCACAATCGCACCCATAAACATATTTTGTTTCTGCAACATTTACTTTGATTTTAAGAGTGGAATCACTGATAGGATCGCCTACAAGCCTGGGTCACAGATGTATTATTAATACCTGCACACAAATATTGCATTTATTTATCAATTTTAATGTGAAAATAATTGCCATTATCCTGACGACATGTAATACATTTCTACGAGGAATAATTATAAGATATGACTCTATCCTTCCTTAAAAAAAAATCAGAATCGTGAAAAATCCACTAAAATAATTCCTCACTGAATCGACCAAAGTGTTATAGTACTGATCAAGTGTGAAAGGAGGGTATCCAGGACAAAAACAGTCTAGGGGAGACTACTCCTGTTATAAAAAAGGTTCTATTAGTAGGTAATCTCCATTTCTTGGTTCAAGTCCAGGAAAAACACCCAACTTTTTTCTTATTAAACACACCTTTTTTTCCGGCAGAATAAAAACTTATGACAATTCATAATGTATAATTGTTCAAAAGTGAGATGCTATATCTTTAAAGTAAATTTCTTAGCGAATGTCATTCAGAGAAAAAAAACATGAATTTTTTTTCACATTAATAGTCCTACTTACAAAATACAATATCATTTCTTTATCTCATTGATAAGATAACAAGACACCCAAACTTCAAAGTCAGACTTTATCACAGAGCTTGTACAGGTACAATAACATTTCTGCAAATGAAATATATTTTACATTTTCCATTTGTTAAAATACCATGACCGAAGTTTGCACGAACAATCAGCAAATCTTTCACTGCAGAATGGACACAATAATATGGGTCAACATTTGCAAATCTGTGTGTACAAAATGTCCAATCAAATATACTCTCAATAGCCTCAGTGACAAAAACATCCTCATATAACAATACTATATTCACATGCACCGTACAGTTCTCATCAGAGAACACTCTCCCACTTTACCAAAGTGTCTTGATGGCAAACAGGCTGGTATAGAAACTGTCCAATTTGTTAATTGCCTTGAAAATGTATTCTGCAGTGCTCCAATATATTCATCATATTTAGAAAACCATGATACCGAGGTCACATGCAATAGTATGACTTGTTCCTGTCTGTTCAGCTGGGATATTGTGTTAACTTCAAGTTGTAATTTTCTATTTCACAAATATAACACTGAAATAATCATAGTAGGTAAAAGCACCCTTACCTCTTTTCCCCTAAATTCACACCCCCTTTAAAAATAATTAAATGGTTCCTTCTAAAGGAGTCCAGCTGATATGTTCAGTTTCATTGAAAGAAATCCCCTCTAGCCTAAACTGACACAGAATTCTACCATTGTGCAAAGCTGTATATACTCTGCAATGACATTGTTTAAATGTTGTATATTTGCAGGATACATATGTTGTCATTCCAGAAAAGTGACACAATTCAAACAAACCCAACTTGCCCACGAGTTCCTACCTTTGTACAAACAAATTGAACCCATAAGGAATAAATAAGTTGAGGCCTTTGTTGTCATAAACATGTAGTTACACCTGAAAAGGTCTTTGATAAAGATTCATTCCATTGAACTGTGATGACGTGGAGATCAAAGGCTGTGCATATCGTACCAATATCGAACCTGAGACTTCAGAGGAAAACATTTCAGATTAATAAAACGACTTCCAATTGAAAAAGGACCATATGTATAATTCACAATTGTAGAATAGGTGCAAAGAATCATACAAACGACCATACATACAGTTTCAAAGGGCCAGCTTGCCCAAGAAAGCATGTTTTAGTAAGGAAAACACTTCAGGTCAAATATTACTTCCGTCCATGTTATGTCCATAATGTTTTAGCCCTTAATGAATCCTACAGATGTTGAGTAAAGAATGTCTGAATGAAAGCCATGTTGATAACATAACTGTGTCAAATAGAGTCCTAAGTTGTGCAAGCTGGCATTTTCCCTTTTACCATAATATTGCTTTAAAACAAACATTTTCAAACGCACACCGATTTCATAACAATTACCATGGTAACCTGGCATATTCACTAATGGTGAGACTCCAAGTCAGGTATGTACAAGTAAGTAATAAATTCACAACAGCCTTCAATAACACTACAGCTCTTTGAAAATCAGCTTGTACTGTGATAGATGCCCCAAGACTCAGGAGCAAATATATATTCAGCTGCATGAAATCATGTATAACAACTATGGGTATTTTATCCTGAATGTTTCAGTGAGAAAAGTGACCTGGAATAGCAAGAGAGAGGATTTACCTGTATGAAATGTGCAAAATACATTGATTGCATTTGGAAGTGTAAATGTTAATCCCGTTTTTTTTTAAATCAGATAAGGCCAGAGTAAATCAATTTTGAGACTTCAGGTTTTTTTCATACATGAACTTCTGACAAGACACAATACTTTAACATTGTAACATAAACTATTAAAGCTACATACCATATGCAGTATACATACAGTTCTATAATGACACCAGAGAACTTGCCAGTCTAAGTAAAGAGCAGTGCCAACTGTAGCTCACCTGGGTAGTCAGTTTATAATATAAAAAAAGAACCACTCGGCAAAAGAATTTTGAATTTGATAGCAAGGTCCAAGGTCCAAGTGCCAATCAAATCAAGGTCCAAATTTAAAATATAATCAAAACTGGAACATATATGTTAAGCCCCACAGTGTTGAGACGCACATACCAACTGCAATTAATTCTGAACAAAAATGGCTGAGTAAGGGCTATAAGTTTCTGCTTTCAGTATGGACAAAGTGCAAACGTCAAAACCTAAAATAACCTAAAATAACTTAAAAAGAACAGGGAAGTTGAGCCCCACTACAAACTACATATGTACCAAATTTCCTGCTATTTTGGATCAAAATGATTCTGTTATTGGCAAAAATATGTCGAAAATTGGATTGGAACCTCTTGAACAAATTCAGGTGTCATCATTGGTTGGGACAACATGTGAAATTTCACCGACAGTGCTTCCTGGGGAGATGAAGTTCACAGTGCCCGGAAATGCATTTTGAAAGAAATTAGGAGTATGGTCAAAGAGCAAAGGTCAAATAAATGTCAAAACGTAATGGTGGTCATATTGAAAAATAGGATTCAAAACAATTGAAAAAATTCAAGTGTCATTATTGTTTGGAGGAAGCATATAAAAATCCAGCTTCATTAGACGAGTGGTTGCTAAGGAGAAGATGTCTGCGAACGCCGCCGAAGGGAACTGACGCCTGACACCAGATGCTGGATAAGCAGGCAATGACGTAAGCTCACTTAAGTCAGATAAACTAACTAGTTGAGGCCCCGGACAGCCTACCAATTTGGACTTAAACCTTCTTTTAACCATTTCCCAAATAAAATAACCTGGTAGGTGAGTTTATTTAAGCTTATCAAAACTATGGAGATGAGTTTCTACATTTAAAGTGATGTTACGGCACTTATAACTGTTGCCAAACATTTTATGAAACAAGTTCATACACCTGACTCATCTAGAAAATAATGGATATTATGGTAACACACAAAGCATACAGTTCTTCCTATTTCAGCATATGTTGAAATGAGAGAAAGTGCATTAACTACAAGCACACACACCAGAGAATAATACATTGTCCTGAACCAACAAATGTTTGCTTAGAAAATAACAAAATATACTTATGTTCCTCCAAATGTTTGTGAGCAATTTCATTGTCGACACAGACATAATGTCTTCATATATATTCTCTTGTATGCTGGTCTTTACACATGTGTATAGCTGGATCAGTATCCTCTCAAGGGAGATGGTCACAATACAGAAGTCAGCCGTGGGAAGGGATAGAGATGCCACAGTCAGGCATGGGTGAGGATAGAGATGCCACAGTTAGGTATGGGTGGGGATAGAGATGCCACAGTTAGGCATGGGTGAGGATAGAGATGCCACAGTTAGGTATGGGTGGGGATAGAGATGCCACAGTTAGGTATGGGTGGGGATAGAGATGCCACAGTTAGGCATGGGTGAGGATAGAGATGCCACAGTTAGGTATGGGTGGGGATAGAGATGCCACAGGTAGGCATGGGTGGGGATAGAGATGCCACAGTTAGGCATTGTTGGGGATACAGATGCCACAGTTAGGCATGGGTGGGGATAGAGATGCCACAGTTAGGTATTGGTGGGAATAGAAATGCCAGTTAGGCATTGTTTTGGGATAGAGATGCCACAGTTAGGCATGGGTGGGGATAGAGATGACACAGGTAGGCATAGGTGGGGATAGAGATGACACAGTTAGGCATGGGTGGGGATAGGGATGCCACAGATGGGCATGGGTGGGGATAGAGATGCCACAGTTAGGCATTGTTGGGGACAGGGATGCCACAGTGAGGCATGGATGGTGATAGAGATGACACAGTCAGGCATGGGTGGGGATAGAGATACCACAGTTAGGCATGGGTGGGGATAGAGATGCCACAGATAGGCATGGGTGGAGATAGAGATGACACAGTTAGGCATGGATGGGGATAGAGATGCCACAGTTCGGCATTGTTGGGGATAGAGATGCCTTAGTTAGGCATCGGGGGATAGGGATACCCCAGTTAGTCATTGCTGGGGATAGGGATGCCACAGTTAGGCATGGGTGGGGATAGAGATGCCACAGTTAGGTATTGGTGGGGATAGAGATGCCACAGTTAGGCATGGGTGGGGATAGAAATGCCACAGTTAGGCATGTGTGGGGATAGAGATGTCACAGATAGGCATGTGTGGGGATAGAGATTTCGCAGTTAGGCATAGGTGGGGATAGGGATGCCACAGTTAGGCATGGGTGGGGAAAGAGATGCCACAGGTAGACATTGGTGGGGATAGAAATGCCACAGTTAGGAATGGGTGGGGATAGGGTTGCAACAGGGGTGGTTTGGTTGGGGGAGGATGGGGATAGGGACATATGTTTAACCTAGGGTGAGGGCCATCAGGGGAGTGTAGTCATGCAAACTGTGTTCAGTGAGGCAATTGTCACTTTGGAGGATGAAGAAGGATAGCAGTGTGAATCTGTAGTCTTGGGTGAGGGTTGCAGAGAAGGAGATAGCAGGCAAGGAGATTGTAGAGATAGGGAAGCATTATCCCACTGTGAGAGATGGAGAAGATGAGGATGGGCACTTAGGTGACATTCAGATGGGGGAAGGAGCTATGCCAAACTTCACAATCAGGAACTTGATTGGGGGCACAGTGTGATGGTCAGGGTTGTAGGGCTGACACAGATGTCTCCATCTACATGGGTAGGGGTGCTGGATCGCCAAACTATAATGGTGGGAATTGGACAGGACAAAGGGTGGGGCAGGGTTCTGGGAGTGGCTTCCTGAACATGGATTGGAGAACATATATTACCATGTAAAATAATTCACAGATGTATTGTGTCCCTTGCTTCTACACATCACAAACATCAGAAGGTTCTTATGATGAATTAAACAAGGGAGACAACATCAATAGCTCATAAAATAAGGTAAAAGCAAGAAATTGATACCATGTCAACTTGTCACGAACACTTCTGATTATATTACAAAATGTCATGCAGCACTAATCAAGTCACATGTGCAAGTTAGCAAAGTGGTGACTTTCCATTATGAACTTGGCCTCCAAGTTACAGTCTCAAATTATTCAAAGGTTTCTTTGTGTGGATTCCATAGGCAAGCATCTTGACTTCAGGTACACCATCGCCTCTGTTACTGAGAAACAATTTCCTCATCTAACTTCCTTGATCGTTGAATGTGGCTGCACCTGATACTGCCTTGGAATACTATATTTTATGGTCTCTGTTGAGAAATAGAAAAGATTTCCGCAAAAATCACTTCAATATTTCTCAAATATTAGAATCCTGTGTTGAATGAGAATCCTATTCTCCATGTTGTACGCAGATTGCCACTGGTACAAGTGAGGCTGATGACTCCGGAGAGTCTTCCATACCGTCAGTAGCCCTGACTGACTGTCTGGCTTCAGACTGCTTGGGTTACCCAACTCTGAGATAGGCTGTCCCAGATACTATCTGGATAGTGTATCTCTGGATTCCTTGCGCTTGTTTTGAGGATCAGTCCCTGATCTTGTGTGGTAGTCTCAGCCTTTGCTCTTACAGACCTCCTTCCAGCGAGAGGCAAAGTCAGCAATGTTCTCAATGCTTACACCTACAAATAGGAAAATAGGATGGGAAATTTTATACGCGATGTTTCAAAGATCAACATAACTCCATAATTATACCTTATTGAGCGAGGGAGGGAGTGAATGTTGCTTTATGCCATGCCACATTTTGCAATTTTCCAGCTATATAATCGCAATCTGTAAGATGTCATAGTTAAGGTCAGGCAAACCAGTAATTGACAGAATTGCCACGGTACAATGACACACAATCAGTCATATAATACTTTGTAGTCATTTTAGTGGGCATTGATAATCAATTGCTCTGGAACCCCACTGGGTTCATATATAGAGGGCATAAGAGACTGTTCAAATATGACGTGTGAACACTGTTGCTTCCCAAGTGAACACAAGCCCCAAACATTCGACCATTCTATAAGGGCTGGTACGGGTAACTTCACATTTCTTTCTCACTGAGCAACAATTCGTCTATCAACTGCAGTGTATACATGATCAGATCGTTTTATACATTAGCTAAATAGTTTAGCAAAACAATTCCCATTCGGACATTTTGTACCCAACTCTTGAGACCTATAGCGGGTATCCGGGTAGGGCCGGGTAATAGTGTGTCGAGTACCCGGGTAGTAAATTTGGACTTGTCCCAGCCCTACATTCTATCCACCATTTTCCAGTAAATGTCAAAAGTGCCATATGAAATTTTGGAATTGTTTGTGTAGCAGGGCGGGGAGTCATCCCACAGATGACATCCTTAGCATGTCAGTTTGCTGATGGATTAACCTCTTCGGTCATATGGACAATTCATCTGACCTCGGATCAGTAGGTCTGCGGTTCGAATCCCATTATGACCACTACATTTGCAATAACTTCTTAAAACTAAATTATCCGAGGTAAAGGGTGACATACCTTCTTGCCGGCTTGCTGTTATGGTGTGTCTGATGGCTGGGAGAGTCTGCTCCGTGTCCAACTTGTGGTCAGTCAAGATGGCCACAACACTCCCAGAGCTGAAGTTCCCGCTCTGCTGTGCCAGGTACCGGGAACAACTCAGTATCTCACTCAAACACCTGCAACAAATTGAATCCACTGAGTAACAGGAGCTTATGACAAAACCAGACATATCTCAGGGCTTTACATCACAGTGGCCTATGCCCTGTGCCACAAGCCTAAGACGATCCTAACGCCTATACTTTACTTATGACAGTTGCAGCACAAGGACTGCTTTGTGGAACTGGAGCCAGGTAGTAGACCAGGCACACCAGTACATTCACCTAGTAATGATGTGATGATCTGTACACTTGGAACACATTACTACAAACATTGACTACAAGGAGATTTAGCATTGGAGACCCTAGTCTTCCTACCACTGATCTCGGTTCCTCTTCTTCAGCATCCTCTGGTTGTTGCCTGGCAATGTCTCATTGCTCTTCTGAGCACGGATGTACCTAGAAACCATAGGCAATTTCTATTAAACGAGAAAGTACGAGGGAACACTTTGCTTCACAACATGTGAGTTGGTTGGTTTCCATGCAGTTGTGAACAGTATATCACAGCATCAGATTAAAGTGTGTGGAAAGCCCCAACTGTCTCAGCAGTCAGAGTGAGTGAGTGAGTTGGGTTTAACGCCGCTTTTAACAGTATTCCAGTTATATCGCGGCGTGTCAGCTTAATGTGGGAGGAAAACCCGAAGTGGTGCAGGTCTCAGACGTTTATCACTTCGGTGAAACCCACGAGCACGGGTATGGTGCTGACAAACATTGAAACATAATCGGGGCGAACCGGGATTCGAACCCACAATCATAAGTTTCTGGGGTGCCCAAGGGACGCAACTCTGCACAGCGAATCGCGGCGCCTTAGACGACTGGGCCACCCGTGCCCCCCTCAGCAGTCAGACCAACAATCATAATCTTGTCTGGATTCGAACCATGATCAGAAGATACTGACATGACTAAGGACTGAGTGAGAGAATTCCCTTTAACGCTCCAGCAATATCACAGTGGCAAGTAAATAATCCAGTCTGGATGAGACAGACCAGTGGCTGACCACATGAGGATCTTATCCCATGTCACCAAGCCTGACCACTGGTTATCTTTAGTCACATCTAACGACAAGCATGAGATACTGAGTGACGAAGGGATGCTATTTTTTTCACAATGACTTTGTGATGTCTAATGTTAAAAAAAAAGAGTGCCTTCTTTGCTTGGTGTTAAGCACTGCATTCTACAATATAGAGGCGTTTCAGTTCCCATGATGCAATGCGCGGTTGCCATGTTGGTTGTCAAACTAAACAAGCGCAAAACGTAAACACGCCCAAGATAATTTTTCAACCTGCCGATATGCCTGTTTCATGTGCGGTGATAAATTGCAGCAATCGTGCAAACAGAGACAAGAAGAGTTTTTTTCAGATTCCCAGCTGTAATCAATAACAGTGATGAGAAAACAAGGGATCTCAGTCAGAAGAGGCGCCATTTGTGGTTTGCAGGTGTCAACAGGGAAGATCTGGCATTCAAGCATACCCAATACATGCGCGTATGCAGCGATCATTTTGTCAGCGGTAAGTTTGAAATTGGTATGACAGGTAGGTTTTTTGTAGTGCGAAATTATGTTCTGCTGTTCTTCGAAACAGAGTATGCTTTCAATATTTGAAATGGATAGAAGGTAGAAAGTACAACTAGGCCTATCCTTGTCTTCTTAAAATCATGTCTAGCGTTGCTGTAGCGAATGTTTTTTTTTGTGGCACAACATTAATAAGGTTTTTTTAATTGCCTTTGCATTATCATTATGTTAAGGTGACAATATAACTATCCTCGGTGATCAGTGGTCATTATTTCAACCAGGCCATCAGGGCTAAATGTTGTCACTGATAACTGTAAACAATGTGAATCATGTCTGAACTGCATATGGCTCCATACAATAAATTGTGTTATTGTGATGCTAAATAAGTAATGGTTAATGTTAATAAATAAATAATCGTCTCCAGGTCTTCACCCATCCTGGTTGGATGCCCAGTTTGAAACTTGGCTATGACAAGGGCGACAAAGGCGACAAGGGTTCTCATTTCTTCCGTTTACAGGTAAACTAAAAATGTTATTTTATCAGTCTAGTGATTGAAATATGGGACACACATGGGAAGAAAATTAAGGGTTGTAAGGTTAATTTATTTTTGCAATAAAGCATAGGTATGAAAGGTAACCCCTCTGTCTTCATGTGGTTACATTACGTTTATTGCCAGGACTTCTGGATTTTCATGTTTAATTTTGAACACTGTTTGGGATAAAAATATGAAAACATCAGTGTCATGCTATAAGTGTATATGTTATCTCAGTGTAATTAAAATACATGTTCCATTCGAGTGAAGGTTTATTACTCAGACTTGTAAAAGATTAAATACATAAACAAAATGTCAAATGTGTTTAATGATTTTATAATTATGATTCAGGAATAAAACCACATAGACATGTTAAGTGTTACCTAAAATCCCACTGCCTTGTATTGCATATGCAATGCATCTGATTTAGATTAGCCCATGTTCATTCTGTGCCAAGCACCACTGTGCTTCACTTGAAACAATTTTTTAACAATATGAATTGATAATTTCATCATGGATGTATTATCATTCAAACAGATCATGCAGTTATGTCAGCTAAAACTAATTGTCAATGAAATTACATCACATTGAAATGGGATTAGTGATATTTCGTTTCACTCAGTGATTTCGCTGCAAAATTATCTCGAACAAGTGTTTTCTGTGTCTTTAACCAGCTTGGCAGATCAACAGAAAATATTTCATACATATGACTTTGAATTACTGACCCAATGTACAATCTGTCAAAAGTAGAAATAAATCTAATTCTGAACATGCTGAGATATAGTCAGTAATTTTTTAGTTTTAATTTGTACATTTTGCCCAACATTATATCACATGAATATCTTTTTGAGAACAAGTTTCATTAAGACATGGTTTTCCAGCTCAGATACAGAACAAGTTGCTTGATGATCAGCAAGGACTGAGTCCCACTGAAAAGTTAAATCGATCAGGTAAAGTTACTGAAATTAACACATCATTCTTTACTATTGTGTTTGCGCTTCGTTCCTTTGTTACTTGTACAACAATCTTTAAAAAAACATTTTCCTTTCGGTTTTTGCTCAAGACCAACAAACTTGAAGTGAAACCATCTCACTGTACATTCTTTCCCATCGCAGCCAACATACTTGCTGCCATCTTCTGGTGTCCTGCATGTACAGAACAGTTCTTCACCAACACTTTCTGGAGCAACACTTTCACATGTGGTGTTCAAGAAGTGTCGTGCAACAATCTCTGGTAGAATAACAGATGTGAAGAACTGCATCGCCTGATCAGCTACTGGTTGACAACGGGTGTAATTCTCTCCATAAAAATATCATCATTTGTCCAAACAACAAATTCACAATAATCATGATGAGTTACAAATAGCTGTGTTTGCACCTGGTAATAATACTGACTGTCCCTTTTCAGTTGCAGTGACCCATTATCTTCCTCTAAGTATACTATCATACATTATTATCAATGAAGTCATCCTTTGAACAGTAAGGACACTTAATCTCAAGGCAGCCCCTTCCACAACAGCTACAGTCAACAATGCCATCAGGAGTTGCATCAAGATGTGGATACTCACAGCTAAGGAATAAACCACATTCCTCAACACTGAAGTTATGGTGATGCTCACAAGATAATTTCTCATAGGCATCCCTTGCTGTTACCTCATGGCTGCATCCCCATCTTGTAACTGGATTAGAAAACTTGACCTCAGTCGGGTAACAGATATGGTGAAGTAAACTTCGAGAAGGGTCCAACAATGAGGTACGACTTGCGCTCTTCATCTTTGCTGCCGTTATACGTCCAGCCCTGAACTGAAACCAAAGTAGGGGACCTGCCTGGTTCCTTGTTGCTGCTTCAACTGCTGTAACCTCCTCTTCTGTGATGCTAAAACATTCTGACAGCGTTCTAAAACTTCATCATATGGGATGCCACCCATACTTTCATCAAACAGCTCAGGAATCACTTGTGGAAATTGTGGTTGTAGTGGTACAGGTACATATTGATCACTATAATCACTATGAACTGCTAGACAAGATGGTCTGTCTGCATTAATAGTATGAAGAAAGGTGTCAAAATTCTGTGTAGATGCAGATTCTAACTTATGGGTACGTTTAGCCCTTGATGAACTTGAACATGTAGCAGATAAATCATCAATTAACAAGTCAAGTTTCTTCTTCAATGTCTTTGAAGAGGTCAAATCAATGTCGGCATAGTCAACCTTTTTCATCGAAGCTGGAAGTTTCCAGTAGGCTGGTTCCTGTGTTTCGGTGGTACTTTCCCTTAGTCTAACAATAGCTTCAACAGCAAACATCACACTTGCTACATGTGTGTACGGTTCTCCCAAACCTGCCATACAGTTGCAGTGGGCTGACAAAACTTTGCCAGTGTTCATCAGTGATGAACAAGGAGTGCAATGGAGCTTCATTCAAGCGCTGGGAATGCTCTACCTGTAAACATACAGCGGAGGAGTTAATTTTATTTCAGATATAAAATTTAGATTCTATATTTCATTCAAAAAGTGAATGAAAATGATAGTATTCTCAATTCCAATACTTCATCATAATGATATGGACTGAGCATTAAGACGTTTCATTATAGGATTGTGAAAGTAATTTGAATGAGTATAATTTTACAATGACTTGCTGAATAGATTTTGGATTCTCTCTCAAATTTTATCTCGAGCTGTTAATTATTTTGTCTAACTGCCTTTATAATATCCCCGTAACCCATCCGAATGTTATCACTACGTAAACACACATTATGTATTGTCTGGGCCCTTGTACAGTATCAGTTGCAAAGGATGTAGGTAAGCTGTTGTTTACTTACTTTTGACATCACGACGTGAATGGCCCTTCCATCTTCGACGGACAAGTGCACATACGAGACAATGTCTCGTACCAAAACACTTACAAATCTATCATATGCTTCCAAGCTTCTGATATCTGGTAAACTACAAAAAGGACTCGGGCTGAATACCAGATAGTTGACGATGTCGATGTAGTTAGTTGCCGGCAAATGATTGTGGTTGTCACTCCATTTCGATTTTGGAATCCTGTACGGATCGTCTTTGTCGATCACGTCAGTCTTCTCGAGATATCTTATACGAGATACTTTGTTCAATAAATTAGCGTAATTATCCATGACAGATGATTGCAAGATGACAGACAGGAGCAGACAGACGTTGACGATTGTAGAGCGAGTGTGTTGCTAATGACGCTATTGTTACTAGGGACGTGAATACAAGCAACATGGCGGGCGCACGGCATGACGGGATAACTCTGAAACCCCTCTATTCTACCTATATGGCGGCTATGTGTGTAATATTGAGTCTGGACCAGATAATCAAGTGATTTACATCACGCATATCAATCCATGCAAATTGCGATATGATGACACTCAATCAACCAAGTCACCGAGCCTGACCACTCAATCCATTTAGTTGCCTCTAATGATAAGCAACCAAGCATACATTCACTGGAAAACATGATTGTCCTCCATGATATACAGCTCCTGACATACCTGTTCCCCTTCCTGAACTCATTCTCCAGCCATCGAATAGCCTCCCGGGCTCCAGAGCTCTCTTTCTTCATAAAGTCCAAACTGTCAATCACTGAAACACCAGTACTTAACATAGTAATACCTAGCAAGATAATTGATGCAATATGAAACAGCCTGTCACCATATATCAATATATGGGACACACCATACCTGTCCTAAGTGCAAGAGTGCCAGTATGTTTTGGTTGGTTTGGTATGTTGTTTAACGCCACACACAGCAATATTCCAGCTATATGATGGCGGCCTGTAAATAATATAGTCTGGACCAGACAATCTAGTGATTAATATCATGAGCATAGATCCACGCAATTGGGATCGATGACATGCATCAACCAAGTCAGCGAACCTGACCATCCGATCCCTTTATTTGCCTGTAAACGACAAGCATAGTCGCCTTTTACAGCAAGCATGGGTTGCTAAAGACCTTTTCTACCCCGGATCTTCACGAGTCTGCCAGTATGTATACACATGTGGCTGAAGCTTGTAGCCAGCTACTCCTGCATGTATCTATACATAATTTGCTGCTTGGAACACAGTGATGCCATACCATTGTAAATACTACAACCACACAACAGCTCATACAAAGTACTGAGTCCCACACACGGCAGCAGGCTGGCTAACAGGTCGTCATATACAAAGTACTGAGTCCGTAACACGGCAGCAGGCTGACTAACAGGTCGTCATATACAAAGTACTGAGTCCGTAACACGGCAGCAGGCTGGCTAACAGGTCGTCATATACAAAGTACTGAGTCCGTAACATGGCAGCAGGCTGGCTAACAGGTCGTCATATACAAAGTACTGAGTCCGTAACATGGCAGCAGGCTGGCTAACAGGTCGTCATATACAAAGTACTGAGCCCCACACACTGCAGCAGGCTGACTAACAGGTCGTCATATACAAAGTACTGAGCCCTGCACACGGCAGCAGGCTGGCTAACAGGTCGTCATATACAAAGTACTGAGCCCTGCACATGGCAGCAGGCTGACTAACAGGTCGTCATATACAAAGTACTGAGCCCCGCACATGGCAGCAGGCTGGCTAACAGGTCGTCATATACAAAGTACTGAGCCCTGCACACGGCAGCAGGCTGGCTAACAGGTCGTCATATACAAAGTACTGAGCCCCACACATGGCAGCAGGCTGGTTGATAGGTCGTCATATACAAAGTACTGAGCCCCACACAAGGCAGCAGGCTGGCTAACAGGTCGTCATATACAAAGTACTGAGTCCGTAACACGGCAGCAGGCTGGCTAACAGGTCGTCATATACAAAGTACTGAGTCCGTAACATGGCAGCAGGCTGGCTAACAGGTCGTCATATACAAAGTACTGAGTCCGTAACACGGCAGCAGGCTGGCTAACAGGTCGTCATATACAAAGTACTGAGTCCGTAACATGGCAGCAGGCTGGCTAACAGGTCGTCATATACAAAGTACTGAGCCCTGCACACGGCAGCAGGCTGGCTAACAGGTCGTCATATACAAAGTACTGAGCCCCGCACATGGCAGCAGGCTGGCTAACAGGTCGTCATATACAAAGTACTGAGCCCTGCACACTGCAGCAGGCTGGCTAACAGGTCGTCATATACAAAGTACTGAGCCCCACACATGGCAGCAGGCTGGTTGATAGGTCGTCATATACAAAGTACTGAGCCCCAAACAAGGCAGCAGGCTGGCTAACAGGTCGTCATATACGAAGTACTGAGCCCCACACACGGCAGCAGGCTGGTTGATAGGTCGTCATATACAAAGCTCCCACGGCAGCAGACTGGCTTAAAGGTTGTGGACCTACCTGAGAGAGGGATGACCATGATGCCCCTGGCACTGAGGATGAGCTGTTTGACGAGTGGGAGAGAGGAGCACAGGGCGGAAGTGTCGGTGATCAGGTACGGAGGGAACATGGGCTGCTCTGACTCCTGTAGGGACCCTTCCAGCTGGCTCACCTCAGCCTGACAACAACCATCAGCATATCATCCATCACAGTACCCAATACAATAACAATCAGCTAACCAAAACATCCATCAGCATATCCAATACAACCATCAGCATATCCAATACAACAACCATCAGCATATCCAATACAACAACCATCAGCATACCCCATACAACAACAACAGTCAGCATATCCAAAACAATCATCAGCATACCCCATACAACAACCATCAGCATATCCAAAACAACCATCAGCATACCCAATACAACACCAGTCAGCATATCATCCATCACACTACCCAATACAACATCCTTCCGTATATTCAACACAACATCCTTCAGTATATTCAACACAACATCCTTCAGTATATTCAACACAACAACCATCAGTATATTCAACACAACATCCTTCAGTATATTCAACACAACATCCTTCAGTATATTCAACACAACCATCAGTTTATTCAACACAACATCCTTCAGTATATTCAACACATCAGTTTATTCAACACAACAACCATCAGTATATTCAAAACAAAATCCTTTAGTATATTCAACAATACATCATCAGTATATTCAAAACAACATCCTTCTTCATATTCCAAACACTTAATTTTTGTATACTGTCTAATTTCTTTTTAAAAATTTGAAATGCATCAACCCACATTACATCATGGTTGGATCTTTGAAGACATTTGCCTTTACAAACCTGTACACAACAACAAATCATTTAATGTTAAGCCTTGCATATTTCGATGAACTACATATTCCTATTACCTGGTCATAAGACCCGCAAATGCAATAAATATCAGTCCAGAAGTTGAAACACTTGTCATTCCTGACTGATGACATGTACAGCAACCCTCATCAACACCTACTTTGTCACTTAAAAACAATGTAACACACAACCTTTCTCTGAACCCGTTGACTGACAGGTGTCCCGTATCAGGCGGTACAACACTGTGTTGAAAGCCGGCTCTCAAACTACTGTGACAATTGACACCTTGTCACATGATCAAGTAAAGTAAACAAACAAACATTATCATCAAATATATCAACATATATATCAACTACTATCTACCACAGTAACATAGGTTAGTTCCAATACTTCAACAAGCACCTCCAGAATAATGATTATTTGCATGAATTTAACATATTCTACAGCAGAATATGCTCAAGTAAATAAGGTCATGTTTCATTGGAAACGTTTATAGGTCAAAGATTACACTGTTTTAAGGGCCACAACATAATCATTGGAGTATGCAACTCACTGAACACAGAGGTGTTTAAGCTTATTGTTTCAAGCTATGACTTGACCATAGATATCAGACACAATTTGAGCAAGATTCCTCAAGACCAAATCAATTTTGGCTTTACAGATATATCAGAAATAATTGTTCAGAAGATGAAAGCGTTGTTTGTCATATGGCAGACAAATAAATATTTTTCAAAATCTGTACTTAAGTACTTGCAAAAAACAGAAGTACCCCATTTCCAGAAGGCCCCAGGCGTCACCACATACCTAGTATTTCCGGTGTGACATCATTACCTTCAGTGGGGGAAATACATACCAACTACAATCTCCAACCCGATTAAAGTCCCTCTAGCTAACATAGAGGAAACTACATGTATTACCTGACATTACTTATGGTGATAAAAGCACTTGACCTACAACCTGAAGGTCCCACTCCTCTCTCTAACCAAACAGAGAAACTGATATGCAGTTTTGGTCTGATCACATCACTTCCTGCCTTATGACATAATGTCTGGTTTGCACTTCTGGCTTAAGGATATCAGTTCTGGTTGGGAAAAACACATACATACTGTACTCTTAAACAGTAAGTCCTATTCTTCTAGCTGACTTAATATGAAAGTTAGATGCACTTTGGTTTAAATCTATTTATACCATGATTACCGGTTTGAGAAAACCATAAAGCAAGATGATCTTAAACAGTCAGTCCATTGCTTCTAGCTAGCACTTCCTGTTTTATAACATCACTTCCACTTTGTGAAAATACCTCCCAATGCATTACATCTTTAAAACAGAAACCCCATGAAGACACAGCTGACTTAAGGATTTCACCTTCTTTACTCTTTCAATACAGCATTTCAGTATAGGTGCCAGTAACATTTATATCAAGCAAGCTTTATCCTTCAACTCTATGAACTCGGTGACTGCCTTCATTAATTCACCGCCTTCTTAACTGTCACTGAATCATATAGAAAATCCCATGCCTCCATCTTCCTTCATAAGACATTAATGACCTTGACCTTCAAAATAAAGTAATAATATGCTTGGTCATTACTTGTTGAAAACATAGGTGATACCTCTGGCTTGGTTCAGAACAGAAAGGAGTCAAAAATCGAAAAAACCTCTGCACTGATCTAACCTCAGATGAAGGTACAGGAAAACTTTACCACTTCAATACCACCCCTTTTGGACTAGATGTCCCAAATTTCATCTGACTACAGGAAACACTTCGTAAGTTATCTTGAACATCATACAGTTTTTAGTGTATGACCCTGGGAGTGAATGTGACTATTACAATGAAACACAAGTTTCTCAAGGACATTCCTAACGGCTCTACAGCAGCAGGATACTCAAGGTGGAATTCAATGTGCTACTCACAGGAAGAATGTCACTGTGACATACTACCGTTATCATAAGGCTGTCATCAAAATATAACAACAACTTGAAAAAATTCCAAAAATATGTGCAGGAAAAGGCATGTTCCTGAACGTGGTGAACATATTTTAAGCATAACCTTCACTGTGACCTTGAACTTACATGAAGGTCACTCAAGCCACTTTCAAATCACTACCGCTATAAGGATATCCATATCATCTCCTCTCAAGTGGTGGCTAGACATTAGCTACAGATGGACAAGAGCTGCACTTGAACTAGTGTTGAGCTAGAGGTGGTACTTATTGTATTCATCCCCATCAACTCTGCAGACATACCTGAAGCCTCAGCTGAGCCATGTCTCTCATCAGTTGGTTGCGTCGGCTTTCTGCATCTCTCTGGAACAGATACAGACACATGTACTTTACAGTTGTAACAAATATCAGGTCTCTACCACCTTCAACTTTGTAATTCAGAAAGTCCATAATGCATATTCGTGAGGGAGGGAATTTTGTTTGAAACTTGGTCAATATCCCAATATATCACAATGCCTTGTAAATAATCAAGTCTGGACACGGCAAACCAGTCACTAGCAGCATGAGCACAATTATGACACACAAATGACAGCATTAGCAACAACCAATACTGACACAACATAGGTTGTACACCACACACCAGTGAAGACCCCTGCTTGTCCTAAGGGATGACTATTAAATGGGATCAGGTTGTCAGACTCACTGACATTGTTTGTTTAATGCCGCACTCAGTAATATTCCAGCTATATGATGGCGGTCTGTAAATAATCGAGTCTACTCACTGATGTGGATGATGCATGTTAGAGCATTGCATTGATCTATGATCATGTCAATCACCAAATTGTCTGGTCAAGATTTGATTATTTACAAACCGCCGTCATATAGCTTGAATAGCGACCAGAGCAGAGCAAAAAAACTAACAAGCAAAACAAATCGTACAATATGTCAATGACATTTTCACACATATTGGTATTGGTACCGATAAACATAAATAGGTCTGACCACCAGCATGAGATATTGCAGACCAAATCTGCCTTAGAATACAGACATGTGTACATCCAGAGTGAGCCAAAAAACCATGCCCCTAATACTTTCATACCATGTATGATTGTTTAAACACTTTTGACAATGAATTTTGGCAATCTCCTCATGGCATGCTTAAGTGATGCACTATACTTTGTCCATCTGTCTCGAGGGGGCCATTGGTTGACGTATCCTCTATGTTAGTTTATGTTCCCCGAGCCCAAGGGCATTTATCCACTGTATTCATTTTGCGCATTTATCGAAAAATAGCAGACAACAGAAAAACCAAAGAGTTATTCACCCTAGATCTAGTTCATTCGGAAAATATTATAAATATCTGGAGAATGGCATCTTACATAATTAATTCAAGATACAAAACTGTGGTTGGTATGTTGCAAATGTGATGCCAAGAGTTTGGCAATTCAAGCAGGGAACATAAGAAATGTACCTTACATGTTAGGGGGTACATTGAAAATAACAGAATGGGTCTCAGCCAATCAGAACCTGACATACATAATGTAAAATAAATGCATATGTATCTATAATTCTGTTTTCTATATTTAAAATATTTCTTTAAACTTCCATACAAAATCAATTATGTTTTTATATTCAGAGAAACTTCCATAAACACCATCAACTGATGTTCCGTGTGATGCTGTTCAAATATAAGAGTTTTCGTTGTATTTAATACATATTTATCTTGGATTTCAAACTAAAAGCATTTGGCAGGCAAATTGGGTACAAAACCATGATATTGGTCAAAATTGGATTATTTTAATGTTCTAATTTTTTTTAATTATGAAGAATTGGGAAACTTTCAATTAACATTGGGAAATTTTACTGTCATTTGTGGCAGGCTTAGGGCCGAATATCAGCCTCTGAGCAGGTCCCGATATATATCTCTGTAGTATCTCTAATCTGAAGGTGAAGGCTTTGTTACAAGCGATATGACTAGATGACCAAAGCCTTTAACAAACCCAAACACATGAAGACCACAGTACAAGGCTGTCAGTGCATCCCCTCCTAGGTCCACTCAGTAATAAACAGACATAAACCACACTACAAACTGAACATAACAACAATACACTCGAAGACAAACACCACTTTATTCTTGTACATCACAAAAATCAAGGACTGCCAACCCATTTATCTCTTGGTGCATGTTTCAGCAATTTGTCAACAATACTTTCTCAAGCCTGATCACCAAATGGAAAAAGAGTATTTTTTGTCACAATCAGCCCCTCTATCAGAGCTATCATGTAATCTGTGATAGCCCGTCATCTGTCAACACTGACAAGTCGCTTCCCCTACACGACCCTCATCTAGATGTGCAGATAAGCCAATATGCATGGTGTTTGTCAACACTCGCATTGTCTGATATGCAACTCAGGTGCAGTAAGTATGTGTGATGGCTATACAAGGGGGGCAATTTCTTTAATATCCATAATCAGCTTGACAGATCAAAATTTGGTGGAATTGTGTGTATTTTTAATAATGGGAAGAATGTATGGCACAGTTCTGCTGCATCAGCAGTTTTAATTTTTGCAATAACTTCACCTCAGTGCTCCCGCATCATCCAGCAATAAACACATCTCACACAAAGGCTGTAAGATGAGAATGATTGGGTCTGAATAAAACGCTTCTGACACACCATCAAAATGGGATGTACTAAATGAGTAATTGGCTAAATGTTGCCTGGATTTCCCACAAAAATAACCCCTATCATAGCATGTATCGTAACATATTACCTTCAACCAAACAAATCCACTATCAACAAAAACTCATCACCGTAACACTGTCAGTCACTCATGTCCTCATTATCATCATAAACATACATCAGCTACCTTCCCTGACTCATGACCAACTGGAGGAGCCACGTCAGTAATGCAGACACCCAGGCTTGGACACTTGAGTATATCAGCAACATCACCATCAACATTACATCTTGGCTGTTGGTAGGATAGGAGAACACTTTCAGCCCAGAACACATTATTTTCCTCCTGCTCGCTCCCCAGTCTGACTGACAGGTACAGTTGCTGAGATAGCTTATCTCCTCAGGGGAAGATAGCTCCCTACTCCACAAGCAGCAAAATACCAACTCAGGACCTTTGTAAATTTGCCAGATAAACTGCTGTGCCTAGCTATGGCAAGAGAAGAGGCTGGGGAGACAGATACACTTGGAACATGTCGGATGCAACCGCAGTGAACTTCAGGGCAGCCCACACACTCACTGGAGCGCCAACGATTCCTGCTTTCAACAAGGCCATATTTTTTTACCAGATATGATCCTAAGTGTGGATTATTCACGATCAAGACATTGGTCTGTTGCTGACATGATATGATATAATTAACACTGGCATGCTAGTTTGTCTGTCTCATGGACATGAAGGCAAACATCATTCTCTCACCATCTTGTCAGTGTCTTTAGACAGAAGTTAACATGAACTTGAACAGGGACTTAAACCTTTTCAACTGAGTACACTCAGAAGCACTATTATGTAAAGAGATTGGAATTTTTAAAGCCCTTATCTTCTTCAATCCAGTATGATCTACACATTGCATTTATTTCTACAAAAATAAGTATCAAAACCTTTTGCTCGGTGTTATCAGTGAGTTACAAGTCATCTTTGCACAGATAAAAAATTGGCAATAATGACAAGATGAATTGGGGAAATTTTCATTTCCACTATTTTTGGAATTTTTACAAACATTTGCGGTCGTGCAGGGACTGAAGACTGACCTCTGCGAACATCTAGATGACACCCTGATAAAGCACTTTCCTTCCAGAATATCCAAACTAACAGACAAGCTAGTTCAATGGGCTCAACTGTTCTTAGAAGGCTGAAGAATATCACCTGTGTATGACGGAACCAATGAAAACAAAATATTGTTCAAAAGAGTATTTCTGATACTTTTTCGGCAAACGATGAGGTGACTCTTAAAAGATATGAACAAGACTTAGTAACATGACATTTATCAACTGAAATACATATCTGAAGTCATATTCCATACTTATCTGCTTAAAGGAATTGATACCGACAACAGAGATGTTTTAATTTTACTTTCAGGATAAAACAGAGCTCATACTTCAAAAATAGAAAATAGGAATAATCCCTATAACAGTGGTGAGTGAGTCAGTATGGTTTTTACGTCACTTTTAGCAATATTCCCGCAATATCCTGGCGGGGGACACCAGAAATGGGCTTCACACATTGTACCCATGTCGGGAATCGAACCTGGGTCTTCGGCATGACGACCAAACACTTTAACCACTAGGCTACCCGACCGCCCCTTTTAACTGTAAATGTATCCTATCATGCTTGGATATATGAACCACATTTTGGGGCGTTTCTTTTGTTAAAAAAATTTTCTCAATGCTTCAAGGCATGCAATATACATAAACTGTAAATGCCTGAGAATAATCAGTCTCAATCATCTGCTAAAACAGATTCCTTTGGGCGTAACAGTCAAAATAGTGGTGAAAATAATATGGATGGATCACTGAAAATCAGTGTGACACCAGGTGTTCACACAAAGGGTAAGCACTACCAGTAGCACCCATTAGAATTTCATTCTATGAAAGAAGGAGCTATACATTGAACAATTGCAATTCTAATTTTTTTTGGGGGGTGAGGGGGTTGCAAACCCTGAGTAGACATTATTTTCAGAAACAATTGTTTTTGTTTTTTTAAAACATTCCAGCCCCAACACAGAATATCAAATGGTTGGTCCAATGTCAAAGCTATTTCATATGAAGGTGAAAAGACATGGTGACAGCAAGTGTTGCCTGCAATCATTATCATCATGTTTCAGAGTTTAACCTTGACTTAGAAAAGTGGAGGTCCAGGGGACCCCAAACAATTAATTTTAAGGGTCCTAGCAGGCAAAATGAGGGTCCTGTAAAGTAATGATTGTGTAGTGTAATGTATAATTACTGGAATGAATCATTGACACCCATAACTGTACCTTATGCGCTGTAGGTAAAATGAATATTATTGTGCGTCCCTTGGGATGCAGAATGTTTCTTATTCTGCGTCCAGTGTGAGTACTGGAAGCACTATAGTGAGTGAATGAGTATGGTCTTACACCGCTTTTAGCAATAGGGGGACACCAGAAATGGGCTTCACACATTGTACCCTGGCGGGAATTGAACCAGGGTCTTTGGCGTGACGAGTGAACACTTTAAACACTAGGCTACCCGACCGCCCCTAGGGTGAGTGAGTATGGTTTTACGCTGCTTTTAGCAATATTCCAGCAATATTACAACGGGGGACACCAGAAATGGGCTTCACACATTGTACACATGTCGGGAATTGAACCCGGGTCTTTGGCGTGACGAG